AAGAGTGCGAATTCGTATACTTAAACTGTACTATAATAAACTAGCCGTTAACGATACATTAACGCGTTGCAAAATTAGTTATTTATTTATATGCTTGGGGCGAACCAAGCGGGAATACGATAGCCTCTATGCTATAACACGCTGAAATCATACTCCCAATCATATTCACAAGCTTGACTCGTACTTGGCAGTTTGAAAGTTTTATATTTTTGACGAATTGATGTGAGTTACGTGTAGGTGTTATTAAAGAAGTAAATGGGTGGCAATTATAGTTTTTCCATGGAGATGCACTACTGATATTTGCATCTTTGTATTGCCTCGCTACTACGCTAATTACCAACTTACATCTCGTGTGGTAAGTCACCAATACGAATGAGGGTGACTTTTGGCTGGACGAGCGGTCAATATAGTCTAGTATGTGGCCATGTACTTTACTATATATCCTAAGTCGCATTGGATTCCATACCGTCGGGGAGTACCCTTTGTATACGTCTACTCAAATATGGCCGCTTCACATGTCAATACCTATGTACACCTAAATGCAATTATTACGAGTAGTTTTTATTTGAACCTCATTTACACTATGTATACAAGCGGCTCGTACATAGTGTGACTTATTTTACAACTGTCTAATGGGGCTGACAACTGTTATTATACGTCTGCGGCACAATTATATTTATCGAATGTGTAAAACAACAAGATGACCATTAACTATCACAGACTAGAAATTAGACAATTGCATACAAACTTTCCAAACCGTTAGTGCTATTATTTCGATAATCCGATTGCGTGATCGTCTACGTAACATGGCGTATCTTAGAATATGCCGTGTTATGTTTCAAAATAACTCCCGTGAAACTTCTTTATTTGTCGTAATGATCTATCCATCATTTTATTAAATTTGTATGGTCTCACATCTTGACTATCTGTTTAACGATCTCTTATATTGTTTTCTACTCAATGTACGAGGTGTGTTCAAAAAGTAAGGTGAATTTTTAAATTGGACGGGCTACGTAGATTCGAAGATTGATATTTTTTTTATTATGTTGGTATACATGTCCCTCACATATGCTCACAGTTTCAGACAGTTTGTATGTTTACTTTTTTTTTGTGAGACAGAAACGTTAGACGTGTTTTTTGTACTCGGCGATTTTCTGCTGTCGAAAATAATGGATCAAAAAGTTTGTATAAAATTTTGTGTAAAAAATGGAATTAAGTGCTCCGAAACTCTTGAAATGTTGATAGTGGTATACGGTGAGTCTAATTTAAGTAAAAAAAATGTTTACAAGTGGTATAAGTTCTTTCAAGATGGCCGAGAAGACACCCTGTTCAAACAAGGGCATTCAACCGGATTGAAAATCCAATCCGCGCTTGAGTCTATTTCTGAATCCTACAAATGACAATTGAAATTCATTAAAGTAGAATGAATCTTAATTCACTTTAATGTTTTTTATCCCGAAATTAATTTTACATATTATAATAATTAATTTCAGGATAGAAAAATATTAAAGGGGATTCAAATCGATTCCAGTTAGATAAATTTAAATTATCATTTGTAGGATTCAGAAATAGACTCGAAGCGAATTGGATTTTCAATCCGGTTGAATGTCTGTTTTAGCAGGGCACCGACGACGAACATTGCTTTGGAGGTCCCAGCACTTCAATAACTGATGAAAGTGTTGAAGAAGTGAAATAAATGGTGTTAAAAAATTGTTGAATCACTATTAGAGAAATGGCTGAAGATGTCGGCATCTCTGTTGGCTCGTGCCATGCAATTTTTTCCGAAGTTTTGGGTATGAAACGTGTAGCAGCAAAATTTGTTCCGAAACTGCTTAATTTTGAACAAAAGGACCGTCAAAGGAGCATCGCTCAAGAGCTGTTAAACGACGTCAATGATGATCCTGATATGCTCAGAAGAGTCGTAACTGGTGACGAATCATGAGTTTATGGTTATGACGTCGAAACTGAAGCCCAATCGTCCCAATGGAAGACTCCAGAAGAACCAAGACCGAAAAAAGCACGTCAAATTCGATCAAATGTCAAGGTTTTGCTCACTGTTTTCTTTGATCATCGTGGTGTAGTACATCAAGAGTTCTTACCACAAGGTCGTACGGTCAATAAAGATTATTACCTTAAAGTTATGCACCGTTTGCGAGAAGAAATACGAAAAAAACGTCCGGAATTGTAGGAAAACAATTCATGGATTTTGCATCACGATAACAGGGCAACAAAATTTGAAAAGTGAACTGTCCTAGAACCGTGACTAGGTACTCCTGGAGGTTTTTGAGTCGCTGAATCCAAATCCAGCGGCAGATTTTGTCCATCACGTCAGGTTCCCGAGATATCTTAACCTAAAAGTACAAAAAATACTGTTTTTGGCTAAATTTGAGGTTATGTAAAATCTCTACTGAAAGTTTTTTTTGAACGGTCGACGGCATCTCAAAGAAGAACTCTAGCCCTTCAAAACTCTTCTTTCAAATTTGAAAAATCTTTTTTTTTCATTGAGATATCGATGTTTGAAGTTTCATATTTTGACAACTTCGTTAGTAGGCAGAAACGGCAGGATTCTCTTCACAAGACATTTCCAGACTGAAAGACTACAGTTTGGTCCATGTAACTGTATGTATGTGTGTTCGTGTGTGTGTGTGTGTGTGTACACACACCCACACCCACATACATACATACATATATGTATATTACAGGGTGTCCCATTTTAACTTGGACCGTTGAATGACTAAAAACATTACCGAGTATACGAAAAATGTTTCAGGTAAAAGTTGTATAGTTCAGAGGGGGTCAACTGACGAGGACATCAAACTTGACCTCCAATATGATTTTCAAGATTATTTGAAGGTCAACTTCAAATATCAAACTCAAACATCAACTTCAAATATCAACTTCAAACTTTTCTCAAATATCGTCAAAATACAAAACTTTAAATATCGATATCTCAACGAAAAAAAAAAATTTTTTTAATCTGAAAGAAGGGTTTTGAAGGGTTAGAGTTCTTTGAGATGCCGTCGGTTGTTTAATACAAAAAACTTCTAGTAGAGATCTGACATAACCTCAAAGTTAGCCAAAAAACAGTGTTTTTTGCATTTTTAGGTTAGGATATTTCGGGAACCTGACGTATATATATGACGTATATATAGACACCGAATATGGACTCCTGCGACTTTTTCCTGTTCCCAAAACTCAAGAAACCCATGAAAGGACGGAGATTTGGAACGATTGAGAAGATAAAGAAAAAATCGCTGGAAGAACTCAAGGCTATACCAGAAAGTGCTTACTAGAAGTGCTTCGAGGATTGGAAAAAACGTTGGCACAAGTGTATTATATCTAAGGAGGATTACTTTGAAGGGGACAACATAAATATTGATAAATAAATAAATATTTTTTCATAAAAATAAAAATTCACCTTACTTTTTGAACACACCTCGTATGTCTATTCTTTTTATAAAAATTATTTTGACATTTACTACTTATTTCTTTCATTGTTCACTTATTTTTCGCAAAACTTCTCTGCTTGATTATTTTTTATTCATTATTATTGGATTTTTGTTAGATTAGCTGAGTTATTTATCTTTGCCTGCTCTGCTTGGCTGGCTTATTTCTCTTTAATGAAGTTGACGAGGTTGATAATAATTTCACGCGATCGCTGCATTTTGGATAATTACGAAATAATTTATTCAATTGCAAAGTAATAATCAATATGCAATGATCAACCAGTAATTAAATGTAACACAAATTCAATGCAATTTTAACAGTAAAAACAACATAAAATACTAAGATCGTACGTGAATCTGGATAATTTTGTTCAGCTGTCACATATTTCGTATCTACTACCTGAAAATCAAATCGTCTATCTCCTCAATTTTTAATTTACGTACATAGATTTCCGTGCCCCAAAAAGGCTGTAGACAAGAGTTGTGGCTTGAACCTAATCTACCAGACTGTACTATATAGACATTTATGCGAACCTATAATTGTTCCATTATATGTTTGAGTCGCAGTTTGAGAAACGTTAAAAAAAATTGGTAAAAATCAAACAAAGCATTGTCGGTAGACCAACCCTTTCAAAATGTATTTTACACTGTATTTCATAAAAATTCAACTATTCACACACGTGTCGATAAAACAAAAAAAGAAAATTGAAAAATCTAATAAATATAAATATAAGCCATTTTATCCTAACGTTTATTAGGCTAAAGGTCGTATTAGCAATTTACCGATCTCGTGAGATTTTCAGCTTGGTTAGTCATTTACGTTTTTTTAATTGTTATAAAACAAGAACTAATTAATACTCATTGTAGTTTGATAATTTTTAAAAATTAGAAAATAAAAAAATCTGACAAATGAAAGAAATGGAATAAATAGACAGTAAAACGAACTATTTAACAAATTATCTACTCTTGTAAGTTCGGTACTTTCTGTTAGAATTTTTGAATTTAATAAAGAAGTTTCATCGCGCTAGAAAACTATTTGAAACATAATTGTTTCTTACTTTTTCAAAAAGAATGAAGAAATTAGAAAATAAAGCAGAATAATTGAATGAAATTAATAATTGAATGAAATTCTGTAGACAAAAATAAAAAAAATGATTTGATATTTTTAGAAGAAAGAGAAGTGGTGCAAGAACAAATGAGGTGGACAGTCTCTGGAGGGTGTATTCAAGTAAAGCTACAATAAAGCAGGCGTGCTTCAGTGAGAGAGCTTTGTAAATACGTAAAGAATTCAGTTTGCCGTAAGAATATGACGCGTGAGATCACAATCATTGGACACGCGCGCCCAGTTTTATTTACCCTGACCAGTCAAATCAAATGACATTTCTACAAGTGTAAATACCGTTGTATGCGGCTGAAACAGGTCGATTCGTGCGTAACGCTTGCTTGGCGCTCGTCACGGTGAACGTGAATGGGTTCTAAGTAAATATTGTCATTAGGCGTTTCCGCCATTGCGACCCCCTCGAACAAGCGCAATTTGATTTTAGTTCAGTTCCACGATTACACCTCGACCGCAGGGGTTACTGTCAGTCATTAGAAAAAAATCTACATCCAGCGATCCTACAAGTAAACTCGTATAATTTTCATGCTCTTGAAATCCATCATTACACGATATTGCTCAAAATATGGGTAAGATTTTGTACATCGCGACTCTACATTAAGTATATAATCAATTTTAAGAATTGTTCCATGCTGCTTTTTAGGAAGAACTTTACCAATACCAGTGTCTTGTAAAGTTTGTGGAGATCGATCGTATGGTAAACATTACGGAGTTTATTGCTGCGATGGATGTTCTTGCTTTTTCAAAAGATCTATTCGTCGAGGTGTACTCTATAAGTGCATTGGTATGCTAGTTTCTTATAAGATTGGATCTTTGCATGATCGTTTTCGACACATGCACGTCTACACACAAAAACAAATACATCCGAAAAGTATATTCTTGCTCGCTTCACCTAGGTATAAATCTTATACTTACGTGGAAAGTTCAAATTTAAGCACACGCGTGCTAAAGTCACATTTGCCGTATGGCATGTTGTCGAGGTTGGCCCTTCGTAGTCCGTGGTCGTCTCATTGGTTTCACTTAATAGTTAAAGTCCTATACATATTGGAGCTAAACTTTTAATATCACCACTACTGGTCATTCCATTACTTCTCTTTACTTTAAATTAGACAACATATCTGTACAGTAAAGTTCTTATATTGCTAGTGTATCCTATTTTTTCTTTTACTTGTAATCAGCCCTCTAGAGCATAGCTGTCTGCGGCCCGTCGGTCATACTCATTCCCTATCATATATTCTTACGAAATCTGCAATATGAGTAGACTTCTCTATTCATTTCATGATAATAATAATAACTCATCCTGCTTGTGTCTAGAGCTGCATCTCTTATAATTTTGCTTTTCTTTTTATTATTCTATAAATGAGTTTCTCTCGATCTTTTGCTTTTTCAACTTGCGTTGTACAGATTATTAGTCTAATAACAATATATAAAGACTATTTTACAATTTAATTTACAAAAGAAAGTTCTATTAAAATATGTGTACGAAATAATGCCATAGGAATTGATAAAGTATTCTATTTTTAACTTCAAATTACTTATGAAAAGTTTACGGTTAAGAAATGTAATTAGATAATTTTAAGTAAACAACTGGATGAAAATCAGTTTTATCTTTTTTATCGTCAAACCCAAAACCCATAATAAAGATAAATTAATATACAAAGGTTGTATTTACTTATTTGTTTCAAAGCAGGTAATGGAAATTGCCTAATCGATAAAGCTCGCCGAAACTGGTGCCCACACTGTAGATTAAAAAAATGTTTCGCCGTTAATATGAACAACGCAGGTAAATTTATCTAGAATATTCATTTATAAAAAGTTAAATTTGTAATTGTAATTATATCAGTTGTTTAGTACCAGGAACCACCTATATGAATATAAATAAGTTCATTATGTTTATACTCACAATTTTGCAAAAGCTATAAAACCGAGAAATATATAGCTCTCTCCCTAGATTTTTATCATATGCAATAATCATATTATTACTTTATTTTCTCATCCATAGCTGTTCAAGAAGAACGAGGTCCGCGGTCCAGAAGTAAAATATTACAAGTTCATCAAAATCAGCTGAATAATACTTCTAATTTTGAAAACCAAAGCTTGATTAAGGCTAATATGGTTCCTAATATTATTAGTTACCATAGTAAAGAATATTTTTTGAATGTAGATCACTATCATCGAACAATTATAAATTCGTCTTTATGGACAACTTTAAAGCTGAATCCTACTGCTAGATCGACTTTCCTAACGAGGGGTGAGTAAAATGAGAATATTTTATATTATCAAATAAAATCTTTAGATAATCATATTTACATATTAGCTTAATAAATATTATTAAACGAACGAGAGTTAACATATATTAAAAATATCGAGTTTTGGAAGAAATTCATTAAATAATGTTTTTATTTGAAAACAACAAATAAAAAATTAAATTATACAATAAACTGAATCTATCTGCTAGTGAATCTGTCTAATTCTTCTAGTTTCTGTTCAAAATAATTTAATTTTTTTAAAACTGTCAACGTATTTTTCGAGAATTGAACAAAATCGCCTTTGAAGGAGCAAAAGGAATATCCCAGAATATACAAAGATTCTATTTCAATTGTTTCCTTAAATTAAATTTGTATTCTTTCCGAAAGATTCATAGAGAATTGTAACACTTAAGCCATTCAAAGTGAGTTTTCATTTTATCTCGTGGTGGTGTTTATTGATGATTTTTCTTTAAATACTTTATCTGGTTGAATCAAATTTGTATACCAAATATCCCCTCTCAATAATTACGAAAAATTATATCATTTTGTTATCTTAATCTATTGATGTGTAATTTTTACAAATTAAAAAATGTTTTTTTTAATTATAAACAGAAGCGTTTGGCTTTTACACGTTGAAATGTGTAATGTTATTAGTACTGTGAAAATTTCTAATTGGAATATGACGTAGGTTTTTCCATGTCATTAAATAGATAATATCGATAGGTGAAGCTCTTCAATACGAGATTGCAGCACAAATTTTTCTTTCAACTGTTCGCGAAGCTCGTCGACAGTCAGACTTCGCATTAATTTCATTGACGGAACAAAACGCTATACTTCAAAAAGGCTGGACTGCTTTATTTCTTCTACGAGCTTTAACATGGCCATTGAAATTATCTGATTTCCGGAGTAATATGCTGAATAACAAATCTGGAATTATTTATTTAACACAAATTCACGAAACAATTACGACATTACAGCCTGATAGAATTGAGCTGCAAGCACTGGAAACTATTTTACTTTGTCGTAAAGGTGACAATAAAATTGCTTAAATGTTGTAATTGTAAAAGGCAAAAGTTAAAACAATTTATTTTTACAGAATTAGCTTTATCTGCAACGGCTGCCAAGGCACTAGCTGAAGGTCAAGAAAAGGCAATACAAGTTCTAACGTACCATCTGCGTAGCTATAAAGATTGCGATCGAAGATTAACGAGCCTACTGCTTTTGCTACCTTTACTAACAGCTTGTTATCCACATGCCTTGATTAGTGATTTATTTACTCCAATAATAGGTGAAGTAGCCATCGAAAAAGTTATAGCGTCTATCTAATAGACTAATGATATTAATAACTGTATGCATTCTATTTATTGATATCTTTATACAGCGTGTAAATAAGTACGAAATCATCGAGTCAAATAATACTTTGTATGATCGTACTACCTAAAATAAATATCAGAAACAAAGACGTTGTTATGAAAAAACATCAATGCTGTAATCGCAATAAAAGATTTCTCAGAACCTTGTTTTCATTTCTAATTTGACGTTGTACGTATTTTGTAAACTTGCACCGCGATTACGCTAGTAGTTGATTCATACATAAGCAAGATTGGTAACCGAACTTTGAGACTTATTGTGCAATCGCCCAACCTTGAGTAGAACCAAAGTGCATGCTGATTAATAGATCTGCTTTCATTTATCTTATTATTGTAAATCGTCATAGTTAATGTTCTGTAATTCACAATTATCAAATAACTATGAAGAAACAATACTTCTTTGCGATCTCAACTTTTATTTATACAATTATTGGTACAAATGGTAAGTGTCTCGTTTCCACGAAGAGTTGCTTTCTAATTTAGAATTTGCTTAATATTATTATGCAATAATAAAACTGTCAATAGATTCATATTAGAAAAAAGAATTATTAATTATGTAAATATAATTTCAATTTACCGAAAATTATTCATTTGTCATTTGTAAAAGAAATATAATTGATTTTGTGGTAAGCTTTCAAACGATGAATAATATCTCAAATGATTTGCAAATAAATAAGATTTCTTGTTTGCCTCTAGTACTTATTTTTTGTGAAAAACGGTTAATTTATCACAATACACTAATTAATAAAATTGACATTAAGGAAATCAGTCAGTGATCAACAGGAATATTGAAACATTTTTTTGTTAGCTAATAAAAACTTTTTTAATGGAGATATCGTCAGAAACCTTATTTTACACTGAAGTACTCGGACTAAACTGAGTTTTTGTTATGAGTGACAGTGCTACTACACGGTCACAAAGTCACCGGGTATATATATATATATATATATATATATATATATATATATATATATATATTAATTGCAAAACTTTAGAGCCATGCACGATTCTAAATATTAATATAACGAAAAACGTTAAGGAGTCATTTGGTTCGTTAAGATGCGTAATATGAAATGAGCGGAACATTTCTTTTAACTGTTAAATGTCGTTCTTTTTTAAATAAAAATGTGCGATGCATACATATTCTTTTTGGTCTATGAACGGTTATTTTATATTTTTTAACGATTATTTTTTGAAATTGTCCTACATGCTTACTATGTAAATTTTATGAAAATTGATCAACTATGCTATATTTATATATATCAATCACAGCGATAGATCAATTCGGTTTGGTTATGACGTGCCCTAATATTTTGCTGCCGACCAACAACTGTTCGAAATCATCAATGATTTGTTAAGTTCTCTTTGAAAAAGTCACTTGTCAGAACGCTCCTAAATAATTGATCAGTCGTAATCTAGGCGATAACAATTACTTTATACCAGGCAGCTACACAAATTTTTCGAGTAGGAAACCAATCGTAGAAATTATTACTGCATGTTTTTTCATGCGCTGTGTATGTAGTGTATGCATATGAGTCCCAATACAATAGAAGAAAAATAAAATTAAAGACAACGCGGATTGATTTATGCGTTATATGTAGCTGGTATAGTAAACAGAGTAACATTTTTAAAGAATAAAGACAAAGTTTACCAACTGCTTTATAAAAATGACGTAGAATAAAATTGGGACATAGTATTTCTTATTTGAGAAACTCAAATTTTGCAGAAACATTAAGTGATGAACAACCAGTGGTCGAGTACTACAGTTTTCAAGATATTCAATATGTATTTTTCTCCCAAAGAGTGCCCTGGGAAGAAGCAAATATACTTTGCATTTCTTTCGACGCCAAGCTCGCTATGTTAAATACTAATCTAAAAGCAACTAATGTTGCTCAATCAATGGCAGAATCAGATATAGGTAATATTGTCTATTCACATATATTTATCATTTGTAAATTGCAGAAACCAAAAATATAGAAGCATTACTGAAAAAGAACTTACAAGATAATATTAACTTTGTGAAGAAAAACCTAAGGAGTAAACATTTTTCAGCGTATTCTAAGTAAAAAAAAATATTAGATATACTCATCGCGGTATTTCGTTCCATATAGGCCTTTTCAGCGAAAAAATTTTTTAAATTTTACAAATATTTTCTGATTATATAACCGACTTAATGATACTTAAGCTGGTCTATCGAATTACCTTTTTTGATGTGCAAAAATAACCACTTTCAACATTTGTAAACGATCATACATTCGACCGAAAGCTAATTTGTCAGTCCACGATGACATATACGTCGACGATTTTTTACAATTACGTCACTTATCGCTAGACATTATAGAATCTGAGTTGTCTTATCGTATACTCAAATAAACTAATTATTTTTCCAATCAAACGTTATCATATCAGCTTCACATGAATTTCAATGTTAAAAAAGTTTAATATTATTTAAATATGATATATTTGCAAAATTTGGCGTAAATTATTTTGTAAATTAAATATAAATATAAACTACCGCGAGGAATGTTCAATGAACTGGAAAAAAAATTGATCAACATTTTACCCGATATCAAGTAGCATGATCACAGCAATTAATTTATCGTTCACGTTGTTGTATTGAAAGTAATAAAAAATAAAAAAGTAGCAGTCTCATTCGGAGATTGATCATTCTTACGAGTCAGCCAAATATGACAACCAGACCTTTTAAGAATAATTTCTGATAATTTTAAACTACATTTTATATTTAACATAAGTGCATCATTGAATATATCGACTGAAAATATAATAGAGACCTATTTTTAAAGCAATGGAAGGTGCTTGGTTAGGTGGCCGCCGAATCCACTCAACTTGGTATTGGATCGATGGAATAAATTCCAGTTCATCTCAATACGTAATTCCATTAGATCCAGACATAGATGATTTTCCTCCATGGTCTCAAAAACCTTTCAGGGCAACGAAGGAATGTCTCGCTATTGGCAGGAAATCACATTCGTTGCCAAATTTCATTGATTTAGATTGTAGACTGTTGAGACCTTTCGTTTGCGAGAAAAGTAAGTTGCAAGATTGCTTTCACGTTTATCAATCGAAACTTTCATTCATTAAAAAATGCGTTTAAAAGAGTCTGATGATTCCATGAAAAGTCCCGTTCCATCAAAATGGGTAAAAATCAACCAACATGTTTATACATTATACCACGGACGAGTCACTTGGGTAGAAGCAGTTATATTTTGCCGCGCACAAGGCATGAGGTTGGCAATTATAAACAATCAAAACGTCATAAATGCCTTATCGAGCAGTATGACGCAATCTCGACCAGGTTCAGCTTAGTCTCACTTTATTGAAAGTTCATTTCAAAACAAATTTCTTATCATTTCGAGCAATCTTGCAGATTTCGAGAATGTATGGATTGGCGCAAGATATTCTTACGGTCAATGGATATGGTTAGCAACTGGATCCATTTTGAGTTCACAATCTGATAATTCTGGCTATCCTCCTTGGCGTTTCGGAAAACCCGCAAAAAATACCGGGTGTCTTTTACTCGACAGGCATCTTGATGATAAGCCAACTTTCATTGAGATGTTTTGCGAGGGAAAAAGGGATTTTGTATGTGAAAAATGTACGAACATCGATACGATATATTTGTCATGATTCTGCGTATGAATATCGTAGCGACTAATATTCACGAGTGATATGTGATGCATTTCCAGATCCAGAGGGAGAACTTGAAGTTTGGATGAACAAACCCATCAAGTTTGTTTACGACAATATTTCTGTAACAGTCTATCCTATGGAGAAAACCTGGGATGAAAGTAGAAAATATTGCGAGGAAAGAGGTAGTGTATTGAGTTACATCAATAATTGGCAGCTAGTTGATATAATAGTCACTGCAATGGGTGATCATCCCAGAGGTAACCATTAATCATAACACATGGGAACAATATAAATATACAGCTGGTTTATCGAATCATCTGATGATTTCCGTTTGTTTTTTTCGTTCTCTAGAAATAAGCCACATATGGCTTGGAGGATTATATAATTTGAATTTTAGTGAATGGAGGTGGATCTACAATAATGAAGTAATACCCGCGAATAACAATAACATGGACTTTCCACCTTGGGCAAACAGCATTGTCGACAGCGATGACTTTCTGGAAAATTCAGTTTGCCTCAATTTGGACCGTATAGATCATACACAACCGCGTTTCTATGGCCTAAATTGCGATAGCAAGCAAGCTTTCGCTTGTACGACAAGTAAGCTCGTACTCAACTTACTTACTTACTTACTTACTCTCAATTCAAGCTAAAGATAACATATATTCTTTATTTCTAACACAAACCCTCAAATAATTAGTAAATAATCAATAAAACATTACTTTTATTAACTGCAAGTACTATTCAAGTTATATCGTACGTACAGCTGTTGGTAAGGCTTTTAGGAAATAGTTTTATTTGGTACTATATTGCAAATACGGAATGATCAAATAAAAATATACTAGCTCGTATTCTCTTATGTTTTTGGAATAATAGTTAATCCGTTATGTCCGTGAATGACACACAGCACTTATCGTTTTTCATGAATAGATTGCGAAAATCCGCCACCTGTAGCAAATGGAACATGGAACTGTATAGGTAATAGTTACAATATTAAGGATACATTGAACACGTGTTCTCTACAATGCGACGAAGGATATTTCACTGCGGGGAAAAAAAATGTTGATTGTTCACCTCAAAATGGCTGGTTTAATCAATCCAATTGGTTGGAATTTCCTGTTTGTTTAGGTAATACATGTACAACGCTTATGGTAAATTATATTTGCAATATTATAAAATATTAAAGATAGTTATCATTAAATTTATATTTTTATATGAAGCTTCATCAATTTTCTTGTATTGAAGTTCATTCTTTACAATCTCAAAACTATCAATACTTTCTTCCAGATATGAAAAACTATTGGAAGAGATTTACAAGGTCTTTAAGACAAGATATGCAGAAAGCTTCTGGATATTATATTCTGTTATCTCATTCTAATGAAAAATTCAATCACCTTGGTTTACAATTGACACGGAAATTGTTAACTTTATTTCCGTAAGTGTGACTAAATTGCAGATATTATGTCAAATAATTTTTACTAATTTTATTATTTCTATTTTAGTTTGAATGCACAACGAAGAATGGGTATGACAAATTACTTTAAAACCATTAGGAACAGCATTCCTTTTAATCAAAGTGACACATGCACGGCTTTACAATTGCTTTTGCCAAATGATAAGTTACAATCAAAAGAATATACGAATGAATTGAATTACACAGATTGGTTCTCAGATATAAAAGTAGATGGTCGCAATGTTCTTATAAGTAAATTTCATTATTACTTGTGGTTACACTACGTAATACGTTTGCATGTTCGTATGTGTATATATGTGTATGTATTTGTGTATCAGAGGCAAATATGGATGTATTCTAATAATTTCTACAATTTCTTCAGTGCATTGTTTTCGCGGTTCCGCGCATCTTTCAAGAAATTCTTGTTAAATGCATTGTAACGAATATTGGTTTTGTCTATTTTTAGTTGCCATTCTTGATTCTATTGTTGCCAAACACAATCAAGAGATTTTATATAAACTAAAGATGGCAGGTCATTCCATAGTAGTGATTGGTTTGGATGACGACTGGGAATCTTTGACGCCTTTGGCAACAGTTAGATTTGATGGACATTTTAACACGTATCTCTTCAATGAGGAGGGATTTGAAACAGTCATTGGCAATCTGAAACGTAAGAAAAATCGATCTCATTTTTTTAACTAATTTTTATTATACATTTAAGTTTACTTTATGTATAAATGACTAATAAGATTTATTTATAAAATAGCATTTCATAATAAGTTAATAAAAGTACAAGGGTTGGATAGAGTGACAGGCTATGATTCAGTGAAAATAACAATCTATAGCAACGTATTAATAACATAAGAATATCATCATTGATTCGAATAACATACATAATAATTTTCAAGTAAACTGAAAAATATTAGACATTTCATTCAATATAATTTTTTTTTTAACTAATTGTTATATATAGTACATTTTTACTGGTCGACACATAAAATAATCAGAACTAATGCTGTTTGAAAATTAAACATCTAAAACTATTTAAACTAGCACATTACGTCATCAGCAAAGGGTAGTGAGTGTAAAGTGGATGTTTAAGAGGATTTGTAAATTTATCCCACAATTTTCCAACTATAGTATTTTTATAATCAAACGCGCTAACAGAATAATTGTACTAAGCAAGATGAAATTATGAAATGCTTGATAGTAGCCATTTGTCATAGACATGAAAAATCGTGGGTACCGTGTAAAAATGTTTAAGGGTGTTGCCTAGTCGGCGGGGTAAAAAAATTGCTATTTTTTGGATTTTTTTTGAGTAGATTATGAAAGATATGGATATAAAAATACATAGGTATAATAAATTAGATCTTAAATTCCAAAAAAAAATATTTTTCTTATTCATTTTTTTCAAGTTTATTGTACGAAATACGTAGTTGAATATTGAGCGGTAATTTCAAGACAGCTTAGTCGCAACATGATTTCTCAGCAACGGCTTATCTGAAACAAAAAAATCAAAGTGTTTTAGATTTGGTATGATAATAGCTACAGAATGGACCATAATTATTAAGTTTGGGCTAATTTTGTGGATTTTACTTAATAAAATGTGAAAAGTTGAAAAAAACGGCTTTTTTTGGCATTTTTTGGAAAAAAAAAATAGTAAAAATCAAAATTATAACTTGTAAGTGGTCCACTTTGTGGATAATTATGTATAGAATATGTGGTCTAAATTTCAAAAGGATCGGTCCACTGGTTCCGGAGAAATCGTGTTGCAGATCCGAAAAAACGTTGTTTTGAGAAAAACGCGTTTTTAAAGTTTTTTTAAACAAAAAATATAAAAAATATCTTACCAAAATTTAATCTGCAATGCCTGCACCGTATGAAGTACCTTCTGATTGATCGAAACCTTGATTTTCTTCCAATCTAGCCTTTTTTCTCGCTGTTCTAGACTCTTTGGAAGTATTCAAGCAGGTATACGAGCGGTCGGGTAGGATCGTTTCGGTTGAAAAAAAATACACTTATACTGCTCCGATCTTTATAAAAATTTAACACAATATTCTTACATACATATACATTCGAAAAATGTAAAAAAATCGATTTTTTTAAAGTGCCCGACTAGACAACACCCTTAAGCTCAGGGTAAGCAAGACAATGATATATAGCAGACGAAGTCTGATTAACGCAGGCTCAGTAAAGTAAGCGTGCTTCAAATCTTGTCTCGCACTAGTTTGCAAATAGATTATAGTATAGATGAGGTTATAACCTCATCCCATCTATCGACTGATCTAACTTGAGTTAAAAATTAAATAATTTTCTCTCATCCGCTCATTCTCTCCCACGCCCATTTCGGTGCTTCGCCGCCATCATGAGCGGGTCTCGCGGGTCCGAAAAAGGGTATATAGCGCGTGTCGGTTCTTCGCCCCCGGCCATCGATCGTTTCCGTTTGCTCATGTCCTCCTTTTCTCCTACCTTTTTTAAATAGACGCTATTACAAGTTACGCAACTTAATCCTATGTCCCTAAACTAAGATTTTGACGCCGAGTCGCAAACACATTATTTTCTTTTCGTCTTGCACGCGCGACAGGACGCGGAAAACACCACCAAATTCCCGCAGAAAGAGCCGATAATCGCATCAGCGCGTCATAATTTATAACAAACAGACTTGTCACTTGCCCGATATTCTTTTATGACCGTATCTCATTTTTACATTGATTGCGCGTTTTTCTCCTAAACTAAATGACCAGGAGGGTTTCGATGTATTTCTATAGGCGCTAATTCTTACCGACGTATGTCTAGATCTTCAGATATTTGTCTTTCGCGTGCCTACTTTTTTCTGATTGCTATCCGCAATATTAATCATCTTTTATTACATTATACATTGCAAATTAAACAAAATTTGATTATTGTCATCTGAAAATGCGATCGCTTTGAAAATACGCTCTCCTAATCGCTGCGTTCGATAAATCTTCAATTCAAAAAAATTTTAATATTTACATGAAAAAATTTTTTTATATTCGATATTTCCTTAATAAAGTAAACATTTAAATTCAATTTCCATCATATATAATACGCTATTCACACAATAATTAATGTTGTAAACATATTCAACATCTCCAACTCATTTCAGATTTAAAAATGATCAAAAAAATCGATGTCGGGTTGCTGATCTTGTCTCCCTAGGTGGTGGATAGGAGGGGATAGAAAATAATTTCAGGGCAAATCAAAATCAGTTATACACATTATAATACAAACTTGGTGTCTCATCGTTAAAAAATTTAGTTATACCAAGTTAATAACAGGATAGTGTTGAAAGGTGGAGGGCGGTAGAGGGAGAGGAGGAGAATGACTGCGAATTTTTTTCTCACACACACACACACACACACACACACACACACACACACACACACACACACACATACACACACACATACACACACACACACACACACACACACACACACACACACATACACACACACACACACACACACATACACACACACACACACACACACACACACACGCGCGCGCGCGTGTAGGAAGAAAGATATATCAATAAAGATAAATCAATAAAGAGTCTTTCAATTTTCAGGTGTGAAAGATCAACATCCGATATGTGCGTATCTTAATGTTTTAATTAATATTCACATTGCTTCCACCTGATTGGTATTTAAGTGACTTGTTATTTTCCATCAGGCAAGGAGAATAATGATAGCTTAACTGGATATACAGTAGTACATGAACCATCCAGGACATTTAAAGGTTAGCGCATCACCCACAAGTTAGCATATTGATTTACATATTTTTTTTGTTATCAATTTCGAAATTCAAAAGATTTAACAACCTTATCGAGTTAGAAAAGATTAATTTTAAAAAAGCTAACTCCAAATTCATTTTTTGCAATTACTGGAGAAGTTATGCTTCAATCAAGGGTGAGGAAATGAACCCATTCCACGAATATACGCTTTCAAATGAGCCTCCGCCGCCACTAAAATCGGTTGAATAGTTTGCAGACGTATGCCCGAACGTATATTAAAATTGTTCAGCCAAAGTCGAAGAAAACTTATAAAGCTAATAATTCTCGTGTATCATTGCGCTTTAATCGCTGATAATTTTGGTTTGCAGTAACAACAACGCTCCAGCCAGAGCAGATAACGGAAAACAACGTTAATATATTGACATCAATAGATAGCCTAATTTCCCAAATGGCGACGGAGATCGAAACAAATAGTTCAGAGAAGAATCCAATTCAGTCCAATGAAAAAACAACTGTTATAAGCGAAAATTCGAATCAAAATATTGACGTAAATAAAAATTTGCATGAAAGGGACAGTAACGAAACGGACGAATCGCCAATTGATACGCATGAAAGCATATTGTCTGATAATCTGGCAAGAATTAAATCAATACTATCACTACCTTAGTATCAGCATCAAATAATATAAGCTACAATTCATGTAGCCACAATCACTTTTTTATGGTAAATGTTTTTAATGATATATCGGATATTTCGAATAAACGTGTTCAAAAGATTCAATTTACAATATTAATCCTTTAAGGATGTTTTCTTGGCTGTAGGGGTGCTCAACCGCGGCTGCGTGCGGAAGGATTATAAACAGATTGAAGCGGAAAAATTCAGAACTGCTTCTCAGAGCGTCTATTTTCTTACAGTTACTTGAAAAATTTGATATGTGCTTTTGTTTATTCATAAAAAAATATAACTTTAAAAGTTACCAAACGTGTGACTTTGATAAACAAAACTATGTTACAAACTTTTGAAAATCTAAATTTTTTCAACACGACTTTGTTTATTGACATCCCTAAAATGTATATACTAAATATAAAGTTTTAATATTAAAATGAGAAAAATATGGATGGAAGCGATCCGGTGAAACGGCATCTCGCGACGAACGTGATTTTTAATAATATTTTTGTTTATAACACTTAAAAGAGAACCGGTTGGTATTATTTTCAAAATGACAATCTATGCAGCAAAAAATACGCTTTCTTTATTCAGAGTATCGCGATTTTCTAAAGAAGCGTTTTATGTTGTTTTTTGGCTAGAATACATTAAGACATGGTTCCCCATGTATTTCTTCATAAGAAGCAAAAAAATCATCTTACTTTCGATAAAAACCATAGAACTTTTCTTTAGAAAATCGCGATACTCTGAGCAAAGGAAGTGTATTTTGTGGTATATAAATTATCATATTGAAAATAATACGATTCGGTTTTATTTTAAAAGTTGTAAGCGAAAATGTTATTAAAATTGCGAGATGCCGTTTCACCGGTACGCTTCTCTATTTTCTCTTTTTAATATTAAGACCTTAAATTTGATGCACATATTTTAGGGGTATCAATAAACAAAGTTGTGTTGAAAAAATTTAGATTTTCAAAAGTTTGTAACATAGTTTTGTTCATCAAAGTTACACGTTTTGTAACTTTTAAGGTGATAATTTTTTATGAATAAACAAATGCACATATTAAATTTTTGAAGCAACTATAAAAAAATAGACTATAATAGATAAATAAACGCAAGTATCCCCTTTTCCGCACGCAATTGCGGTTGAGCACCCCTACAGCCAAGAGAACGTTCTTAACAACCATAGATGTCATTTTTTAGACATGTTTTTGATCGCAAAATTCACGTGTAAAACGAAACAATAAATTGATCCAAGGAACCGTCTTTTATGTTTCTGGGTATGCTGAATATGAATCTGGGCTCAAAATTCAAAAACTTTGCTTACAAAATTCAATATGACGGATTTTTTAGAAGAAAATAGTGAAAAACTTAAAAGTTTTTTATTATTAATTTTGTTCTAGCATAAAACACGCCAATATCAACATCTTTCTTCAATCATCGATACACAAAATTGTTGAACTTTAACAGAAAATTTTTATATATAGGCTTTTTTTCTAAAATGTCGGATAAAATGCAAAAACCTGAAAAAAAATTCATTTCTCGTTACCATTGTTTTTCTAAAAAAATATTAGGTTTAGGAAAAAGTTTTATAGAAGAAAAATGTCTTAAAATTTATCAAGGAACACTTAAATTTTTTCAAATGTTTTTTTCAAATGGTGAAAATTTTTGATTTTTCAAAAAGCCATAAAATTGATATTTCCAAGAGTTATAAAAAAAAAACTGAAATATTTCTAGATTATTCTTTGGCTAATTCTATGACTTTTTATTCTTATAAATTTTTTCCTAGTCAATAGTTTTCGAAGAAAATATAAAAAATGCAAGTGTTCTTTAAAACATTATAAGAAATTTTTTTTCTTTAACCCTTGTTCCTAAACTTCATATTTTTTTATAAAAACAATGATAACGAGAAAAGAATTTTTTGCAAATTTTTGCATTTTATCCGTCATTTTGAAAAAGAGTTGCTAAAGTTCAACAATTCTGTGCTCCGATGGTTGAAAAAAGATTTCGATATTGACGCGTTTTATGCTAAAAAAATGATAAAAATTTGTTGAATTTTTCACAATTTTTTTTGTAAAAAATTTGTTATATTTAGTTTTTCAAGCAAAGTTTTTGAATTTTGAGTACGAATTCGGATGTAGCATACCCAAAAACATAAGAAACGGTACCTTGGATCACTTTGTTATTTCGTTTTACACATGAATTTTGTGATCAAATACATGTCCAAAAAATAATGTCTATAACCGTTAATAGGTTTAATAATTACAGCTAATACATATTAATCAGTCATGATTTGAAACATAAAGTGTTGTAAACCAGATTTGTGTACATTAAATAAGTAACAATAAACATCAAAAATATTATATATGACATGATTTACAATATGGTATACAGATTATTTCGTGTTTCAATATAATCGTGGTCAATACAGTAATGTACAGTGTTTTTATACAGCAATTTTACAAAAAGTTTATTACACAATATGATGTGCAGTTTATTATTTTATTATATTTTTGTTAAATAAGATGTAGGATATTTATTTATTTATTATTTTTTTTTTTTTATTTATTTATAATGTCACATCCCCCTTTGTGGGTATTAGCGACATTGGTACATTAGTTATTTACATGAGATGTTTATAAAAAAAAAATATTGAATATAAAATAATGTTACACATGTAATTTCGCTATAGAAGGTTCGATAGTATTGTTTTTTTTAGAAATTGGATTACTTTTTGGCTTTGCTGAACATCATTAAGTAGAGTTCTTATTTCACTTGATAACTTTAGTATTTGTCTTTCATTTTCATATTCCGGGCAGTGTAGAAGTATGTGTTCAATATTCAGTCTTGTTTGGCATTTTTCGCATTTAGGTGGTTCTTCTTTTGTCAGTAAGTGCTGGTGTGTTAAAGATGTGTGTCCTATTCTGAGTCGGGTGATGACGATTTGATCTCTTCTATTGAAGTGGTTTGTTGGATTGGATTGGAAGACTTGATTTTTTATTTTTCGTAATGAACATTGGTTAGATTCGTTAATCCATCTGTTGTTTATTTCTTTGTTTATCTCGTTTCTAATTATTTGGAGGCCAATGCTTTTATTTATTTTGCACTGAATCAGATAATTTAGTTGGCAGGCCATTAGGGCTGATTCTTGGGTGATCGAAGTATTGTTGGAGTCGGTCCTTTTTAATTTAACAGTTCCTTTGAGGGTTGTTAATTTGTTCTGAATATGTTGGATGAATGTGTTCTGTGAGTATTCCAGTTTCAGCTGGTTTAATAAGTCTTCGGAGGTCGTAAAAATTACTGTTCTATCAGTAAAGGCGTTGTTACATAAAATGTGTAGAATTAGGATTTCCTGTGAGTGTTGAGTTCCATAATGTTTTGGCAGTTTTAATAGAATTTTCTCTTGTGAGGGTAAGTAGCGGCGGCTCCGATGCTGTTCGGTAATAAGGTGATTCCTGTGTATATGTGAAGTGGGTATGGAGAAAGTTTAGTTTGATTACAGGGGTTATTTTTATCATTCTTGTTATCTCTCTGCTTGGTTGTTTGATCCGTGTGTGTGGTGATGTATGGAAGAAAATCGTTGTAACTTAGTTGATAGTCATTGAGGTATTTTCTTGCTCGATAATAAAAGGGTTTTCTTTGTCGTGGTTTATTGTCGTCATATATGTTAATGTTTTTTGTGAGGAGGTAGTGCGCTTGATTGTTTGGTGAATGGAGGATTTTGATTGCGTAGTTGAGGACCAGCTTTTTCCTTCTCAAGGATAATGGAAGCATTTTACTTTCACTGAGGATACTGTGTATCGGACTAGTTCTGAATGCTCCGGTAGCTATTCTCATGCTTTCGTGTAGAATAACATTTAATTTGTTTAGGGTGCTTTCACTGGCAGATTCGTACGCTATGCAGTCGTAGTCTATTTTGGATTGGATCAGTGCTTTGTAAGTGTTGGTCAGTATCTGTTGACTTGCACCCCAGTTTCTTGCAAATAGGCATTTCAAGGTATTTATCCGTCTTATGCACTGGTTCTTTAGCTCTATGGTGTGTGGTTTCCACGATAGTCGTTTGTCAAAGATGACGCCTAAAATTTTGACTTCATCGACGGCTTGGATGGGTTCGTTGCCAATGAATAGTTGAATATCCTTATTGTGATTTCCGTAGTTCTCGAACAGTATCGCTTGACATTTTAAAGGTGAGAATTGAAATCCGGTAGTGTTAGAGAAACCGATTAGTTTATTTAATACTTTTTGCATGAGTTTGGTAGTAGTTTTTATATTTTTACCTTGTAACAGTAATGTAATATCATCAGCGAAGGCTGAGCATTTGATAGGAGCTTGTATGAGTTGGAAGATGTCGTTTAATGCTATAAGAAATAGAGTCACGCTGATTACGGACCCTTGTGGGACTCCATTTTCGATCTTAACCGCTTTCGACAGTATGTTAAGAATGCGTACCCTGATGGATCTATTAGTTAGAAAGTTTTTGATGAAGTAGTACATGTGTCCTGTAATTTTGAGCTTTATTAAAATTTTGAGGATTCTTTGACGCCAGAGTATGTCGTAGGCTTTATTCATGTCTAGGCAAACCGCTAATACATGTTGCTGAACTGCAAATGCTTCGCATATATTGGATTCAAGTGTGGCCAGACAGTCCGATGTGCTGTATTTTTCTCTGAATCCACTCTGGCAGTTTTCCAAAATGTTTTTAGTTTCAAGAAATTGTTTGAGTCTTTTATTTATAATTTTTTCGAGTAATTTACACATGCAGCATGTTAATGCTATTGGCCTGTAGCTGTTTTTATCGTGCTTGCATTTGTTAGGTTTTAGTATTGGTATAACAGTAGCTTGTTTCCATTCCTTGGGAAACAGATTTCTTATCCATATTAGATTATAAATTCCTAATAGGCAGTTTATGGCTCTCGGTGGGAGATGTTTGAGAAATATGTTAGGTATTGAGTCAGGCCCAGGGCTTGTATTTTTGCTGTTTTCAAGTACCTCTATTAATTCATTGATGGAAATTGGGCGGTTTATCATGTTGTCACTGTTGTCGTCTTGAGAAATTTCTGTTGGTGTTTGGAGTTTTTTGAAAGATAGGAATTCTTTCGTGAGATTTCCGTCGCTTGAGTTTTTTGCAAATGATTCTGCCAATTTATTGGATATTGCGTATGGATCATTTACTATAGAATTATTTTCTTTTAGTATTATTGTTTGATGGTATCTTTTACCTTCGATAGATTTGATCTTCTTCCAGATTTCGTTTAGAGGTGTTTGATGATTCATGGATCTCAAGAACTCCAACCACGATTCATTTTGCTGACTTTTATTGTTCTCTTGGCTATTGCTTTTAATCTTCTGTGTTCGATTTGATCTTCTAGTGTTTTATTTCTCTTCCAAATGTTGAATGCTCGTTTTGAATTTTTGATAGCGATTTCGCACTTTTCGTTCCACCAAGGTGTGTTATACTTAAGGGTTTTCTGGGTACTTGTGGGTATGCTTTCGTTTGCTGCGTAGATGATGGTCTCTTTGAATTTTTCTATGATGAGGTTTATGTTAATATTGCTATTGCTATTGGGTTCGCTGATTAATGATTCAAGCACGTTAATTTTGGAGTTAATGACTTCTTGGTATTTATTCCAGTCAGCTTTATAGTATTTCCAACGATTGATTTTGATAGCTGGATCTGGGTTTTTGTTGGAGAATATTGTTGTAACGAGAGGGTAGTGATCGCTTCCGTACAGATAGTCAAACGCTTCCCAGTTGAGTAGCAGGGCCAAATCATTGCTACATAGCGTTAGGTCAATCGAACTAAATTTGCCAGTAAAAGGGCTGCAGTACGTAGAGGCACCGTCATTGAGTAATTCGATATCATTATTTGCAATGAGCTCTTCCACAGTTATGCCTCTATTATCAATTTTATAGGAGCCCCATAAGGAGTTATGGCTGTTAAAGTCACCAAGAATTATAAAAGGAGCAGGAAGTTGGTTCACTAGGTTTTGTAGCATTTCACTATTGATATTGTATCTGTTGCTTAGATAGATGTTACAGATCGTGATTAGTTTGTTGTTTATAAGCGTTTGGGTGGCGACTGCTTCTATCTCAGTGTTCAGAACTAATTCTTGGCTATATAGCTGTTCTTTGACTAGTATGCATACTCCGCCACTGGCTATTAGACAATCTTGTCTATTTTTATTGTAACATGTGAAGTTTTTGATTTTAACTTTTGCATCGTGTTTTAGATTTGTTTCTTGTAAACATATAATATCTGCATTTTCTTGGCATATGAGGGACTGTAAGTATTCGAATTGTTGCGTTAAACTATTAATATTCCACTGAATAATCTTAGCCATTTTCTATAAATTAATCTTCGTGATCGGAGCTGTTTGGTGTTGGGTCAGGTGTAATATCCGCATGTGGTGATTCGATGCTTTTCAATAGTCTCGTGCAACGGTTTTTGATACTTGAGTTGCGTACGTTCGGGTGAATTTCTTCTTTGATGAACTTTTGGAACGCCTGAAGGTCAGGAGTATATTTTTGAATTATTTCAATGGGGTTTCTGACTTTAAAGGTACTTTCAAGGAGACTTTTGAATTGGTCATAGTTGAGCAATAATTCGGTTTTATTCAAATATCCTTTAATATTGCGTAGTTTAATGTCAAGTTCGTCTTCGAATTCGTCATCCTGTTCTACCATTTCGACGTCGGTACCGCCTTCTAGGTTGTTGTTTTCCGTTGCCTGATTTTCCGATTTATCATTCGGTATATCTACGTCTATTTTAGTCAATTTGCGCGCTTGTTTGACTGCGGTCTTATTGGATCTGTTTTTGGTATTAGCGTTTTCGGATTTGACGGTATGCGATTCATTCGAGCTACTATCAGAGTGTTGTCTTTTCTGTGCGGGCATTATAGTGTTACCCGGCGTGTTTGGTATCATAGATACGTTCGCACTTTCCGAATCAGCTATGTTTAGTTCGGTGTGATTAAAGTTTACATTGGGTGTGGTGGTGCAGTCTTTCATGAGATGGCCTTCTAAGTTACAAGAAAAACATTTTATTGTGCCTGTACTCGAGTAAATGAAATAGCTAACTTCATCATAATTTATTTTTAAAAAGGTCAGAGATTTTTACGGTATCTTCAGGTTTTACATATACTTGTTTGCGCCAACTACCTACGTGTTCGTATCCTTCCTACGTAATTGTAGCTTTTAATTGCATTACAGGTGAACTTCTGTTTACTGATAGTTTGTCGAGAATCTCTTCGAATATACAATTTGGTATACTTGGGGACACATTAGAGAAAATAACTCTCTTAAATTTGTTTACTAGTGGTCTAATAGGTACACTTTCTTCGCCAA